GCTCATAGATCTATTTCCCCATCCTCATATAATATATTTGTATATGTACATGTCTTTATCTAGAGCTCTATAAATACCCTTTGCCTCCCAAGGGTGGCTTATTTTTTTAGCAGTTTTATTGGCATGCATTCCCATATGATACAATTCAATAGTTCAGCCTCATCAAGAAGAGTCATAGAGTCACCACCATAATCAGTTTTAGAACATTTTCTTCATTTTGGTACTTATCATTTATTAGCTCCCTTTGCCTCCAACCTCCCCTGCCAAGGAACCATTCACCCAGTTATCCTCTCTGTCAGGTTACTTATCCTGGATTTCATATACAGAAAAACATTCAATAGCAACAACAACAATAATAACAAAGTAAAACCTCTATTGAAAAAAAACCCGAAAATATTCAAACTACTTATTGGCTGGGTGAGCCGAGTATTCTGACTTAATGATATGGCGCAAATGAACTGTCTCAGGAAGGTTTGGGGAGAAAGAATAAACACATCTGACCAATAATGAGAATAGAGACACCAGGAGGGTAAGGGGAAGGTGGGGGAGAAAAGGAAAACCCATCACAATGATCTATATATAACCCCCTCCCAGGGAGATGGAAAACAGAAAAGTGGGTGAAGGGAGAGATCAGACATGACAAAACAGTAATAGTTTATAAATTATCAAGGGTTCATGAAGGAGGGAGGGTGGGGGAGGGAGAAGAAAAAAAAAGAGCTGATACCAAGGGCTCAAGAAGAAAGAAAATGTTTTGAGAATGATGGTGGCAACAAATGTACAAATGTGCTTGACATGATGTATGGATGTATGGATTGTGATGAGTTATATGAGCCCCCAATAAAATAATTTAAAAAAAAAGAATAAACACATTCGAAGAGAAACGGGATTCCTTTTTGTGATTCAAGAGCACATTGCTTTCTTTTCCAGCTTTCCCTATCTGTGCATCTTTTTTGGATCCTGTTCATTTATAACTCACATGGAGAGCCATCAGCTACACGCCTCTTTGTTCTCCATCAATCAGATTTGCAGAGCAGGGTGTAAATACAATCTTTTGTCATCGAAATCAGCAGTGCCTCTCCAATTTATAAATTATAGCAAATAGTAGCATTCATTGCTTGTTTTATGTTTGCCTTTCATATGCTAACAGATGAGATTAAAAAGCAACACATTAACATGCACTCATGTTGAGGGTAATCTAGCCTTCTGCGGTGTGCTGTTTCCCTTTGGGACAGATTAGAGCAAGGCTTTTGACTCAAGCTGATTTACTGTCTTTATTTGGAATCCCATCTGGCCCTGATCCTAGAGAGTGAGGTCCAGAATGTAGTTCTGGTTGTTCACCTGATTATGACACTGGTTATAATCCCCTGGGCATTTGCTAGGTGATGAGATAAACTCTGCCTTTTAGCACATTCCCCGAGAAAAGAAAGCGTCAAGGTGGGGACAGAGAGGAGTCAACTGCTTAGCCTTTGAGGTTTCTGATACTCTGTACTTGCTCTCTCAGTTGAGGATGGAGCCAATGGAAATCGTGATCACGTTGGGCCTAAGAAAGAAAGAAAATGAAAGACTGAACCCTCAGCAGTCAAGCAGATTCTGGCTCTGTAGGATAGAACAGAACCGCTCGATAGTGTTCAGCAACTCAACTCACTGTCACCAAGTTGATGCCCACAAGCCCCGTGGATCGGTTGGTGGTTTTGAACTGCTGACCTTGCTGATTGCAGCCCCGTGTGTAATTACTATATCTCCAGTTCTCCATAGAGTTACTGGGATGATTTATAGAAACAGACTGCCTCATCTTTCTCTCTGGGAATGGCTGGTGGGTTTGAATCCGTGACCTTTCAGTTGGTAGCTCAACGCTTAACCTGTTGCACTGCAAGGGCTCCTTTTGGGTGTCCTAATTGGAGCAACGGCAGAAAGAGGTGCCAGAAATGAGACTAAAACCAGAGGACCCAGTCATTAAAGTGAAGACTATACTGTTGCAGTAAAACCCAAACTGAACTCCTTAGCTGTGGAATTGATTTTGACTCACAGTGAACCTATAGGTCAGAGGACAACTGCTCCCTAGGGTTTTCAAGGCCCCAAGTCTTTACAGGAACATGGTCTCAGCTTTCTTCTCCTGAGAGCTAGTCGGTTCAAACCACTGGCCTTTTAGTTAGCAGCCACAGGCTTTACCCACTCTGCCTCCAGGACTCTTTCTGCTTTAACCCCAAACCCAGACCCACTACCGTCCCATCAGCTCCTACTTATAGAAACCTACATAGGGTTTCCAAGACCACAGATCTTTACAGACAACGTTACCGCTCTTCCGCTGAAGTCTGGTGTCTTTGAACTGCCGACCTTGGGGTTAACAGCCCAATGCTTACCCAATAGCGCCACCAGGGTGCCTTTGGTGTAACAATGTCACTGCCATCGAGCAAATTCTGACTCAGAGCAGCCTTTTTGGACAGAACAGAACTGCCCCGGTGGGTTTCTAAGATTGTAACTGTTAGCGGGAGTAGAAAGCCGCATTTTTCTTCCAAGATACGAACGTCTGGTAGTTTCTAACTGCTGACCCAACATCTCACCACTATGCCACCAGGTACTACTATAAGAGAAACCGAAAAAGAAAACTAACTGCCATTGAGCCACTGTGGACCAGGAGTCTTAAGTGAATTCTAAAGTTCCTTCTGATTCTCCAATTCTGAATATGAGGAGGCTTTAAACATTTGGTGGAAAAAATCCCACTTTGTCAAAAATTTTAAGTTCTATTCACATATCATACCATCCACTGGTTTAAACATACTAAAAAGAGTTTTGCAGTCATCTCCACAATCAATTTTAGAACATTTTCTTTATTCTTTTACTCATTATTAGCTCCCTATTTCCCCCTAACTTCCCCTGCCGTAACTCTAAGTCTATTTCTATAAAACACATTAAAAAAAACACCAAAACGATAACAACAACCCCCAACCACAATAATAAATTAAACAGAGGAAAACCTAATTGGAAAAGGAAGCATAAAATAACCAAATCTAGCACAGATTTAAAATGGGCTCAAAGGGAGCACAAATCACAGGATGTTAATTTGAATTTAACTGCATCTGCGTTTCTCCACTTCCCAAAACACTCTGCCTGGTGTCAAGGAGATGTGCATCCCTGGTCCCCGGCCAAGGGGGGAATCCTATTACAACCCAAAGGCCCTCTTATGTTTTAGTTCTATTTGACCAGATATTAACTAGCTATAATATTAGTTCTATTTAGGAGAATGCCTTTTACTGATAAGTTTTGTGCATCACAAAAGGAATCCTGAAAAATCCCAATCAGATGATATATTGAAATGTTTAATTCTAGGAATAACACTTCTGTTTGCTTTCAAATTAAAGAGCCTGTGGAAAAATGTTTACTGTTCCAAAGAAGAATAATATCATTTCTTTTTCTTACAGCTTTATCATCCAAATATTGTACGTTATTACAAAACATTTCTGGAAAGTAAGTATGAGTTTCCATGATTTTGGAAACTGAATCTGAGTTTTACATATCTTTTCCCATATTAGAATGCCACAAAATAAATGTAATAAACTAGTTTTTCCCATATTTTCTATTTGCATGATAGTGTATATCATTTTCTTGATCAGGGAAACAGTGATCAATGGTCCGATGATAGTCATAAGATACTTAGATCCATATTGAGAAAGACCATATAAACAAATCAAAATAGTTATTACTGCTATAGTAAGATGTAAAAAGAAGTACATGATAGGAGCAAGATGAGAGAAAACTAAAGATTGGTGAGTTAATAAAAAGAAAAGGTAGTAGTTATTTTGTTGCATCAGATGACATGTTTGTTCCATACACAAAATAAGCTGGGGTAGTTTTGATCCTTGAGACTGTCCATTCCATGAGTAGCAGAAGCTTAAGCACTCAACGACTAGCTGAAAGGTTGGTGGTTCGAACTTACTCAGAGGCACCATGCAATTGCCAGAAGCAGTCTGGGCAATTTACTTCCAAAAGGTGACAGGCTCGAAAACTCCCTCCAAGTTCTACTCTGCTCCCTCTGGGTGGCTTTGGGAGGAGTCCATCTACAGCAAACCATCTC